ATTGAGGTTAGTAGCAGATAATCCAATCCTGTATGACTAATTGAAATATTAAGAACACAAGGAAAAGCTGGAGCAGTGTTGATGCGTGCTTAGATCCATATTGAAAAAGAATTTTGATTGCTTAATTCCATTTTTATTTCCAATTGATATTTGTGGTCACAATCACTTGGCACTCCAGTCGTGCCTTTCCTCAGAAGATTTACATTTTTGATATTGTTGATATAGAAAGCAAGCCATCAAAATTAATTACATCTTAACGGACTAGAGAGCAAAGCTGAAGTGCATTGTTATGCAAGATGGAAACATGCGAAAGAGACAAAAGGCATCTGCATTAAGGGTTACATAAGATCGCATGATTAACTTAAATGACACAGTTTAGATTTAAGCGCTATTTTTAGGACAGATAGATCAAGTTCCCAAATGAAATAGAAAATAAAAGTGGTTTATAGTAAATTAAATTTTGAAGTTTGCTTTGATATTTTTTATCTTACATACATATAGTTTTAGCCACTTCAAATAAAAATAAAGAACACACTTACCAGCAATGGAAATTTTGATTTCACTGGAAACAACTTCCCATCATGTTTCAGAGTTTAGAATATCTCTAAGGTTTATTCTCAAGTGACGTTGAATGGTTCTTTAACAAAGAATTTTTGGTACCTATGAAAAATCCTGTTGACCACAAGAGATGGCACCAATCCCACCAAACCAAAAGAACCCATTTACTAAATACAAGAAAAAACGTTCTATTCTTATTTTCCTTTCAAATTTATTATATTATCATTTATTTATATTTAATTTTTCATTAAAAATTTCCATTATTTTTTATTAAGGAGATATACTGTAAAAGCAAGTATTTTCGCTAGGTGTTAATTTTTGAGAGAAAACATAAGTTTCGTGAAATACTTCTTTTTGGCCTCAAATAATAATAAAAAATCAGTACTCTTGTGTAGTAGGCAGGTCCAAATTTTAATTTTTTTTCGAAAATGCCATATAGAGGGCGTAAAGGAGGCACCTGTAGTAAAGGTTACACCAAACCCAGCCTGTTTGAAGAAGACTTTTCCATTTTTGACGAAAAATTGCATAGTTCGGCATCTTTTCTCTAATAGGCAAAAATGGTCGACGGGATTTTCCGTAAGTACCGCATTTTTTTTAACCTACTACCTTCTGCACCATGTATCATTTTTATATGTTGGATAAGTGCTAAATGATGATTATGGAATCTTCAAAAACATCGTTTATTTACATTGCTACTCCAATATTGTATATCACAGTTATGGTTAATAATAATAATAAATACAGTTATATACATTGCAACTTTGATGTGTTATTCAAAATTCAAGTAGTATTTGGCGATTGGTTTGGCAGTTAAACTTCAGTGAGTAATAAATGATCAAGAATAATCAATATTGTAAGAATTTCTCCATTTTGAATAAAATTTGCATATGTTAAATATGAAAGCAGGCTCAGTTTGAATGATGTATTTTGACCATCCAGATGATGCACATTCTACATTTTCCAAGAATTAAAATCTGGCATAGTATCTGTGAGAACTACACAAACAAATTTTATTAAATAGAAGGAAATTAGCTATGACTTTTGGAGAATTCCTTCGAGTTTAAACTAAAGCAAGACGAAAAACAGGCTTGCAGTAGTATTTGGAGGGAGGCCTTTTGTCGTCTTATTAGAAAATTTCCAAGTTTTGTCCAACGTTAAATATGAATTGTAGTATTTTTAATTAAATATGCTAGTTTTGCATGTGATTTTATTGCTGTAGTCCTAAATCTTGTGTTTGCTTGTGAGATCTACAGGAACTTTTGCTCTTGAACTAAACTAACTTTCAGTCATCTAGTATAATTCTTTCTAAATGCTAAAACTATATTTGACACTTTCTAATAATATTCTGTGAGTCCAAAGAATACACTAAAATATAACTTTAATTTTTCACAAATTTCTATAATTTGTATTTCTAGAAATCATTGTAGAGGTTGAAAACTTCAATGAAATTTCAGTTGAGCAAACTGTTTAAAAAACAGGAGAGGAAGCTATCCATACTTAGTTATTAATGTTGTTAACAATGATAAATCATTAATTTTTAATCATAATTAAAAAGGGAAAAGGCTGTTTGTAGAATGTTCACTTAAACCCAAGAATTATTAAAGGTGGTCAAATTGTTGTGAGCTGAATTACATACTCTATTGGGGTTGTGTACTCTTGAACAGAAACTAATATGTTTTGTCCAAAAGAATTATTTTGCTTCTGATTAAATGAAATCACAGTTAAAATATTTTATGTATATTTCCTAAACTGACTTCAAAAACTGTAGATGATATTGCTGAGTGCAATAAAGTTTATGCTTTTCTTTAAACTCACAGACAAAAAGTAAATTTGGCAGTAATGTTTTAATGCAAAAAACACTTTTTTAATGGGATGCAGAAGTCAGATGTTGCTATATTTGCTCATAATGAACAAAGAAAAATGGCCAGAACACAGAGAATAAAAAATTATCAACCTTCACTGGAATTTGTAATTTGCATTGGTGGCTTTAATATTGACTGCAATGCTTGAATACCTCAGTTTTGCAGATTTTAACAGATTGTAGAGAATGTCTTTTCAAAGTTTCTCTGCCCTTGTTTCAGCACGCAACAAAGACGTACTTGATAGTGATGAAAAGTTGCTTTTTCAGTGATGCTGTCAAGACCATAACGTGCTCATTCTGTGAGATTTAGGTTGGCCAGATTTAGTCTATTTCTTTGCTTTGCAGTAGGTCATAATACTGAGATACTCTGATACTTCTATTATGGTTAGTTGCAATGAACATTTTGCAGAAAAGCCTATATTGTATTCACATGGAATATATTGCCACCTATTCAACCGTCTGAGCGGCTGGCTTTTTAGATGTCATGAAGACTTGTTTTTAAAAAGCCTTTATTAGCTAAATACGTATATTTACCTATTTTAGTTTATATTTTCAAACTTACAGTCATGAAGATGGTATTTATATTATTAATCAAAGTAAGGAAGCAAAATATCTTAAATTATAAGGTAATATATAACAATTGACAAAAAACTTTCATGACTGTATAAATCATGTCGGTCATAAACAGGTCATGGCACTCAGAGGGTTAATATACAAAATTTGCATTCTTCTGTGAAGACAGTGTTTGCCCAATGGTCTTAATATTGTCATAATATTGGCAACATCATCATAATTAGTTGTTTTTGTATGTTGGGATCAATGGAACATGCTTCATTTGTCTGCAAATACAGAAACCAAATGATTCAAACACTATGATATGATCTGATGTGATATTTTGTTTACTGTGTTTGATTTTCATTCTTTCTGCTAAGTGATCAACTTTCTGAAACTTTTCAAATTCATGTCACTATACTTGGACAAATTCTTCATTTCTCTGTCCAATATTGACTTTCTTTCTTCAAAATTACTTATTGTTTTTATTATAATGTAAATATTTTGTCTTCTTATAATATCATCTCCCTTTTTGTAATATAATAACAAAAATCTGCAGTACTACTGTTTAAGGCAACCTCTTCATATGCATTCAGCTTCCAACATCTCTCAGAAACATACTGTAATCGTAATCCTGTATATTTACATATTCTTCTAACAGTCATTCATATCTCCCGCATATATCAGTTAATGCAGAAGACAGTCTGAAGAGCCAAAACATTATCACCACCTACTCAATAATGCGTTTTGCGAAGTTTGGCCCGCAAAACAGCAACTGAAGAGAAGTTATAACAAAGGACTAAGTAGCACTCATGCAAAGTTGAGATATTCTATCATGGTGGTCTTTGAGCTCTGAGCTGCCGTTCTGTGACATCCCAGATGTGCATTATAGGATCAAAATCTGACAAGTTAAATGGTGATGATATTAATTGGAATTCATCCTCATGCTCCTCGGATGTAATTCGAGCTTTGGTCATAGGGTGTTTTCCTGCCTTCTGCAATATTTCTTTTCCACTTGGGAAGACAGATGCCATGTAAGGCTGCAACTGATCAGCATTTATGTTTATGTAGTCTGTGGCTTTCATAATCTTTTCTACCATAACTAAGGGTCCCACAGCTGCTATGAGAACAATCCCCAAACCATAATACTGCCACCACCAGCCTGTGTATGACCTGCTGTACAGGGGGGAGCAACTGTTCACCTGGAAAAGGCATACCCTGACAAAACCATGTATGTGATGAACGAGAAATCCTGATTCATGTCATCAGGCAACTGTCTTCCACTTATCCGTGGTCCAGTCTTGATGTTCCCAGGCCGAATTTAGGCATAGTTGACAATGATGCTTGGTCCACAGAGACACATGAGTGAAACATCTGTTGTGCAGTCCTATACCCAAGTGTCTGCTGAATTGTGAGTTCAAAAACACTTGGGCTTCTACCTACATTGTATTGGACTATCAGCTGAGGTGCTAATTTAGCTGTACCAAGTGAGACAGTCTCCGACATCCTTTTTCTTTGATTATGTGTGGACATCCAACCCCTCACCGTCTGCTGCTGGTTTCAATGTCATTTATCCACTTTGCATAAATACTAACAATGGCAGATCGGGAACAACCTGCCAGTCGTGTAGTTTTTGAAATACTCGTTCTGAGTGTTCGGGCCATTACTATCTGCCCTCTATCAAATTGATTTAGATCAGCAGCTTTTCTGATCACTCACAAAAGTAAGAACAAGAATGATTCCTTACCTTCTCCAGCAACATTTAAATACTATTTCCATTTAATAACGTGCCCTCCATGTCATCCAGATGAGATCATTGGAAAATGTGAGGATAGTCATAGTGTTTTGGCTCGTCAGTGTATTTCTGCCAATAATGACTGACATTTTATATCTTAATATGTGTTTTGTCTTCCATCCTTGATTTATGGGCATGAATCTATTTAGTCTGTACAAATGTTTACTTAACTATTTCATTGTAAGAGTTTGTCTTAATTACTCTATAACCTGAAATATTTTGTACAAATTTCAGAAAACTCCTACTTTGATTTCAAATCTTAAAGAAAAAAAGATAGTACAGTCTGCTTGTGGTGCTGATTTTACCATTGCAGTAGATTCAGATGGAAGGATTTGGGGTTGGGGTCAAAATGATTGTGGACAAGTAAGTTTTTAAAAATAATTATTTTATCCAAAATGTTTAAATTTTAATTAATTTCAGTTCTAAATATAATTCATGATTTTTAGTCTAAAATCACTTACTAAATATATGAATGTATATGAATGTCATAGGAAAGTGCTTCTGTTGTTTTAACAGTATCAGTGAATTAACAGAGGTTCCCAACTTTGAATTCTCAATTTTTCTCAAACAGTATATAAATAAATCTGCTCATTTAGAAATGTGAAACATTAAAAAATTTTGCTGTTAATAACCTATAGATAAGCAGCTAAATAAATTGTAAAAATGATGAAATTCTGCAATACAGCACTAATTCAAGTTTGAAAATTTGTTGGTTATCGAATTATTTTTTTATGCAACAAAAGTATAAAATAATAAGAAGAGGTAAAAACAAAATGTGCATACATTTTGGCTGTCAGTATACTGTAAATTAGAAAGAAAACTTAAACAGAACTGCTGGAAATTTAATCTTCTAAAAATTTTATAGAAATACAAAAAATACTGCAAATCATCTCACTGTAGAAAGATGTCTCATATTATAGCCATATTATTGAGTAGCAGGAGTACTTTCTTGTATGCATGTTTGTTTTCAAAGTAAAGAATTGAAAGTCATATCCAAAGATTTTTGATTTTGGTAACCAAGACTGCAAGCTAAAGTATAATAATGTGCAGTTTATAAAAAGCATAATTTGTAGCTTGCAAAAATAGCAATATTTACACACACACACACACACACACACACACAAAAAAAAAAAAAAAAAAAAAAAAAGACCCTTGTTTGCATTTATTGGTATATGTGTAAATAATAGAAATAAAGTGCAAATAATTTGGTTGTATGTAACTTTGAAGAACAGACCACAGTGTTTTGCTATGCAGAACATTATGTGCCTTTATTTCTGCTTAAGGCTATCAAAAGAAAAAAATTCTTAACCATTTGAGGGGCAGCATATAAAATGATTTAAATTGTGATAAAATTTTGTATGAATTATTACTTATGGACCCTAAGGAAACAAAATTGAGACTTAAAAAGATCTAGAGTGAAATCCTGAATTTTGAGGGCCATTATATATTTTATACTGGTGCTGCTCAAAGACATTTTTTTTTCCAAGGTAGCTGCTAATTTTTGTTTTTTCATCTATTTTTGCATATTTTTGTTGTCCATGTATAGAGATGGGTGGTTGAATATACTTAACTCTGAAGTCAAAAACTTCTAAAATTTTGCTGGAAATTTAAATTTAAAAAATAAAATGTATGTTTTTTTGGCACTTTTATGATGCCACGCAGATGAACATACTTATGTAAAATATGGGTAAAAAGCTTTTGAAAGTGATTTAAATTCAATATCGTTATTTTATGAAAAAATTTAGACCTTATCATCATAAACCTTATCATGCTGTAATTGAACTAATGTAATGTTACAATGAGATGTAACTCAGGCGAAAAATAAAAAATGGAAAAATGGAACACTATGACTCAGCTAAAAAATTATGTTGCATTTTTGAAGTTTTTATACTTTTTAAAAAGAGCATGCTTCATGCTATAATAGGAAAAATCTGCGCACACATGCACACTTTCGATTATTGGGCCCCTTTTTAATTTTTTGTAAATATAGGTTGTAATATTTAATTTTGTTTATGAAGAAAAGCTGTTAAACAATTTTATTATATGATACACCTCAAAGCCCTTTATTTTGACCAAAGCTTAAAAAAAAGAGGCTCAAATATTTACTCCCCTTTTTCCCCCTTTCAAAGATAAATGTTTTACATCTAAAACTGGCTTCAGAAATATTTTTCCTCTTTTACCGGCTGTGAAGACATTTCAAAAACCACTTACTTGTATCCTAACCCAGGGGGAAAATTTCTCTTAGTTTCTCAGCTGAAATTAACAAAGACGATACCGTAAGGCATAAAAGCATGCTTTCAAATCAGCAGTTTTTCCATTCCACTAAGAGACGGACATTAAGTGCACTTCTGTTTCCCATGTTTGTGAGTTTTCCTTTTGTGTGCAATCTTATCGCAGCATCTTTGTGAAGATCCTGTGACCCCCGCCTCACAAATTAACTTGATTAGTCAACCTCTTATCATTTAGGATTTTGGAAAACTCGAAGTGACAGGTGTATGCCACATTTAACCCCTACAGTTGTCTAGCATTTTGATGCTAGGCAACAGTTTTGATATTGTTGAGCAACGGGTGTCTAACAGGTCACATTTAACCCCTACAATTGTGTAGCATTTTGACGCTAGACAACAATTTTGATATCAATGAGTCTTTATCCGGGGAAAGAGTGAAGTAGTGCAATTAAAATTTTAGCTAAACAGAGATGAATGAGAACCTCGACTGGAGTAAGCAAAGAATAAAAATTAACTAAAGTACTAGCACAGTGTCAGTAAACTCCTCATCCTCCATGAATCCTAAACAACTTATAAATTCATCATAAACAATGATACTATAAAGGAATCCTGTCATCTCAATGAAAGAGGAGAAGCCTCATTGTGCTATTTATTAATGTGGTGCCCTCAGTATGGGTGTCGGTATATTTTATATACCGGTCTTAAAATCATATAAATAATCTTTTTTTTATCAGTTCTGACTGACATGCAAGTAAATATATAAGATTTAGCATGTGTATGTCATATAGTTGCATGGATAAGTAATGGAGAATTGAAGATTGAAAAACATTTCTTGTAAACACAAGTCATCATATATGATTACCTGCTACTAATATATCTTAATTGTTTACTTTAATTTTGAGCTTAATTTTGTTTTTCTTACTGTAGTACTGTTTACTGAACTTACTGTGTGTTACTGTACTTACTGTTTGCTGAGAATAGTTGGCATTTTTATCTGGATTTTAATATGTCTAAAACTGTGCTTTGTATTTATTTTATACAGTACAAAGTCTGATATCCAGAAATGTTGGAACTTCGGCGATTTTATCGGGTTTTATCGAAAGTTTCCCTGCCACCACAAATATTGTCTGTGCAAACAGTTTTCATATTAACGTGTTTAATCATGTTTTGACAAACGATTTTTTGTATTTGAAAGAAGGAGCCTTGCTGTAGAACACTGTGTTGTGAAATTTTTTGAAAAATTATCGTTAATGTTAAGTACAAAATGTTTGAAATGGAACAATCATGCTACCAGTTTAGAACCATCATTTACTTCCAGTTCTGTTGCAAAAAGTCAATGCACAAAATCATGTGTACAGCTTTAGGTACTAATGTTATGTCATTTGAGACTGTGAAGGTTTGGTACCAAAAGTTCAAGAGCAAGGACTGTGACATTCAAGAAGCAGAGTACTCTGGCTGGCCTGTTACTGTTGATGAGGCCCACCTGCAAGATATTGTGGAAGAAGATAAGTATGCAACCACTTGAGAGCTAAGGAGTTATTTGTTAGTGCCATGTCCATTAGTTGTGCAATGCATCAAAAAATCCCTGAAGTGCAAATTCAGTTACTGGGTGCTGCATGAGCTGTCTCAAGCAGATAAGGACAGACATTGTTCGGGGCCTGCATTAATTTGCTCAAATATCAATGCAAGGACAAAATTCTTCACGAGATCGTCCTTTGTAATGAAAAGTGGATTTACTTCAACAACGCGGGCCGAAAAGGGGGTTGGTGTGCACCTGGTGTGCCCATCAGCTGCATTGCAAATTGCAGTTTGACTAACAAAATGCTTTTTATCTGATGCGACTGGCATGGTATAAGTTACATTTACTGTGTTTCAATGTTAAATTTGACAATTCACGTGTATACCATCAGTTAATAATTCTACCAAAACGCGACTTCAAACATTCAATCCCCAGAAAAAAATTTCCATCAAAATATCTAAAATTTCTTGGTCAGTTGTTTCTAGTTTTGTAAATTTATCAATTAAAAGTGAAAAAGCTACATCACGTTCTTGTATCTTTACATATTGTCTGACCTGGGTGGAAAATTTCTACAAGGTCACTAGCATGGGATATTTCTGTAGTACTTTGTCTAAGGTATATGAACTTCTCTTCATTTGATAAACATAGATCATCATGAATTTTCTTAAGTAAACTCCAAATACTAAAGCTATCCTTTTATTGAACCATTATATTTTTGTAATTCGATTTTAGGTAATCTAACACTCCTTTTATTTACTCCTTCATTAGGAGAATCATTATATGTTTTATTGCTTAATTCATTTCACAATCATTTGGCTTTCGTTTTCAACAATATATGTGAGTCAGAATAAGAATTTATCGCCTTATAATCTTGATCAAATGTGTTTTGATATGTTTTTGGATCTTTCTATAAATTATCTAAAATATCTTGGTCAGTTATTTCTAGTCTTGTAAATTTATTGCATAAATGTGAAAATGCTACATCACATTCTTCTTGATCTTTTGGTTTAGCTTTTAAAGCATTCATCATGTCTATTAGTGCATTTAAATAAATAAAATAAATTTTGTTAATTTCATAAATTTTGCTCCGAGTGGTATTTATTAATTTATCCATAATTAACTATTTCACTTCAATCAAAATCAGCTTTATACTAAAAATCAGTGTTCCCGTTCAGGCGCCAAAAATTTTATGTTCAATAAAATTCATAACAAAATGCATTTCAAAGCACTAAAAACGAAGGTATATTTCTTACCTTGATCCATTATGTGTTCATAGGGTTTAATGCTGAGGAAGCTGCCATGGTCTAAAATCCAAAATTACTACTATAGAATTAAAACAGCATTTATTTATTGTAGGCATACTCAAAATCTGTTTCACAGAACACACATAACACAAACCATGGATGGAGGGGAAAAAGCAGTCAAAAGTCTCTGGCCATACACTAATGACCGAACAGAAGTATTCCATCTCCTATTTTGGAGGCTTGTGACAGAAGAATTATTGCTTAGGAATTATTACAGCTTTTACTCAAATCTTGTTACATTAAAGATATGATCAATATGCAGAATCATGTGTGTTTGACACACGATTATGCATATTGATCATATTGAAACCA